GAGTCTGATGCCAGGCCGAGTTCATCCTCGGGTGAACGTTTTTGTGCAGAAGAGGGACTGAGGTGAGGGCTGTGTTGTGTGAAATCCGTTCTGGCAAACCCGGGAAACATGGGTTTTAGGAGGGGCGCTCGCTGTGGTGCAGATACAAGGAGATGTTGCCTGAGCCATTGTGGGGAGGAAAAGGGGAGCCTTTCGGAAGGTGGGCGGAGGGCCCAGCCATCTGGTGGGGGTGGAGCAGGTGGGCAGAGGAGAGCTTCGTGTGCCCGCAAGGACACGGCTCCTGGAATCCTTGTGCTGCCCGGATGTCCTGCTTTTCCATTTTAGTTCCCAGCCAGAGTGAATACACTTGCCCAGCCCACAGCTTCCTCCTTTCGGACCTGCCGGGGATGCCCCGCGTCGTACGCTGCGGAGACTCATGAGATTTGGCTGCATTGGCTTCTTCTTTGTTCTCTCAGGACCCTGTTACATTGCATGTGGGTCAGGTTGCCGTGAGACACTGCCGGTGGCCTCTTATCTAAGAGGGTCGGGATGGTTCGTTTATTTGGGGAGACAGTTAAGACATCAGCTGTGCAGGAGGCTTCCTTATCAGAAGTGTGCCTGGGAACCGGTAAATACACAACGTAGGAAGCTCTCACTGGCCAGTGGAGGTAGCATGGTGCCTGTACCTTTCCCTCAGCTGGTAACTCTGTACTCTTGCTTTACACGGGATGTTAATGAGCGTGGTGAGTTTGAGCTCCTTTCTGATCGGAAGTTGCTGCCCCAGAGAGACTTACTGACTCGGAAGCGCTGGTTGCTGGTCCTTGTGAGAAGTGATGTATTGAGATGGGAGGAGGGAAGCAAGAACTCATGGGTGGAGCTTCTGCCCTGCTGTGTCTGGGGACAGCCTGCCATATGTGTCTGGAAGTTGAAGCGTCGCTGAAGTCCAGAAGGGTGATCTGGACAGAGTCAAGGTTTAGCCTCAGTCCGTTCTGCTTCAGAAGGCAGGGAGATGAGCGGTATTGCCACTGTGGTTTGGGTATCACGCTGTTTTGGGTGACGTTGCTCCCCAAGGATGACTTAATTAGCTGAGGGCTTCCTGTAGCTATTCGATCTTCCAGACTTTGTGACCCCGGTGTAGCCCAGCCCCTGGAATAGTGGCTGGCATTTGCTGAGGTCATTATTTGTTGAAGGAATGAGTGGATTCATCACGACAAGGAGACATCAAGGCAGCGAGGGACAAGGAGTAGCCTCCAGTCTCGTCACGTTAATGGATCTCCCATTGTAACCATTAGACAGCACTTCACATAATAGCCACAAAATCGTGTTTAGGGAAATGGCCTTGGAGGTGCAGCAGGTTCCAGTTCCTGGAATACTTAATTTGAAAAGATCGTAATGAGTGCATTCTCCTATTTAGGCCTGCGGGGTGAAGTATCAGTCTGTTGTCCGTGTTTTAGCATGGTCTATCCAGAAGATGTGTTGCTTGGCCCCAGACACCCCCCCACACACACACACACCCCACCCCAGCCCACAGAGCTGGCCTTTATGGAGCGCCTGCTGTGTGCCGGTCAGGATGTGCTTTGGGGATGGAGGGAAGGGGAGAGGAACACAGCTGGTCCCTGCCCTCAGCCTGAAGTCCGAGTAAGACAGGAACAAAGGCAACCGCAGTGCAGGGTGATAAGTCTGTGTGTAATAAAGACGCGTGCTTGCTTGTGGGAGCACAGGAGGGGGCACTTACTGCTGTGGGCCGTGGGTCGGGGGAGGGGTGGGCTGTTTGGGCGAAGCCTGAGATGACAGTCTGGGGGCTTCTGGGGGCTGCCCCAGGTGGCGTGTCCTGGCTGGCAGGACGGGGGAGTTCCCTGCAGCCTTCTCAGTTTTGACTGGACACTTTGTGGGCTGGGAGGAGAAATAGATGGCAGTGGGTTCAGGGGCTGTGGCCTGGACCCTCTTGTCTTCGTCTGACCTTTCACTCCCTGGGACCTCTGTTTTGAGGACCCCTCTCTCCCAGCCCTCATAATCTCACCAGATTCTTTTTAGAGCTGGAAAGGGCCATCGGGAATTCTCTCTTCCAGAGGAAGAGACCTAGAGCGTAAGGAGCTGGGGGAGGTGGGTGGGGGAAAGTGTTTACAGGTGAGTCAGTAAACATGGTATTTCCTATCCACCAGCCTCTGTGTCTGGCATGTCCCAGTCCAGTGAGCAAGGGTCTGCCAATAGAGGAGCCAGTCCAGCATGGCAGAAAGGACCAGCCAACCCTAGAAGGGTTCTTTTCCCAACCTCCCCCTTGAGCTCTTTCTAAATAAGAGCCGTTTTAGAAAGACATCAGAAACGTAAGATTTGGAATGATCTAGAGAGAAGCTTGGACCAGCTGCCCCTATTTTCCACGTGTGGAAATGTGTTTTTTCAGTTCATCCTCCGCGAGTGTTAAAATGACATCCCTGGATGGTAAGCCCTGAACCAAAATAGAGAGACCCAGGTGGGGAGCAGGCGGGATTTGGGGTCTGCCGAGTTTGAGCGACCCTGTTCATTCAGGGCACCATGCCTGGTTTGTAGCTGCAGGAGAAGTCCAGGATGGGCGTATGGATTTGGGGAAATTACGAATCGCTTAATGGTCACAGTTAATGCATGTGGGACTAGAGCATAGATCTCTTGCTTCCTGCCAGCCCAATTCTGTCTGCCACATGGTGCTGCTAAAGCTGTATGCTAACTAGTTCTGTGCCCCCAGGAAACCCACTAATGAGGCACTGGCGCCGTGGTGGTAGGTGTTGGGTAGGCTAGCAGTGCCGGATAGTAAGAGAGCAAGTACATCGGAGGAAGAGTGCCAGAACGATGATTTTGTGTGTTTTTCATTGTATTTGTTGTCTAACGACTGCCAAAAGATCCGTGTTAAAGAACACTCGGGAAGAAAACCATCCATGGTTTCTCCATCCCAACACAGGTCTTTTGGTTTTCGCAAACCGTTTTTATCAAGCAAACCATACAGCGCAGACAGATTTCTTGGTAGTTGGAATCACAGCTTCCTACTCCTTTGTGGTCTGTTTACTTAACGTCAACATAAGAATCTTCCTGATTCTTGTCTCATCCTTATAATTATCTGTCCTGACGGCCCAGCAGTATTCCCGAGTGTTGATGGGCCCAGCTCTGTGTCCCTGTGGTTGGAGTTTGGGTTGTTTCTTCTTTGTGCCCCAGCCCCAGCTTTATTCCTCCAGTAGATAATGCTCCAGAGAATATCTCTGCACCTGGAGCCTTCTGCTCCTGTTGAACTGTTGCCTTTAAGGAGTGTTTCCAGGAAGCAAGGAGTCTGAAGGTTGTAATCCAGTGCTATAATTTTGAGGGTTTTTTTTTTTTTTTTGCTTTTTGTGAGTGCTGTTTTATATAACACAAATGCAGACATACACATAAAACAAAGGTTCAGTTTCACAAAGTTCGGGAAGGCAGACACCCTTGTACCACCCCCCACGTCAGGAGCTGCGTGGGACCTTGCCAGCCAGCGGGAGGCCCACTGTGGGCTCTCTCCCTGGCACATCCCCTCTGGGCCCCGGAGAGCAACAACTGCCCTGACTTCATTGTAACCACTTCTTGATCCTCTCTTCAAGTCTTCTCACCCATTGTGCGTCCCTACACATTGCAGTTTCGTTTTGCCTTTTTTTTTTTTTTTTAATAAAGGTGTCTTTTAGATCTTTTGTAACCTCCAGGTGCCCCTCCATCCCTTTACTTCTGTCTCTTCTGTTTGTTGAAGAAGCTGTGTTGTCGTCCTGAGGAGTTTCTAGAATTTCCCACAGGCTGGTGGATCTTGCTGGTTGCAGCCCCATGTAGTTTAGAACATTCCTCTGCATTTCCTGCAGTTGGCTGTTGGGTCTACTGGTTGAATCAGACTTGTTTTGTTGTTGTTGGGTTTTTTTTTTTTCCTGTGGGGAGAAAGATTACATCTTGGGGGGGTGTTCTTCATCAGGATGTACTTGATGGCTGGTTGTTGGTTGTGTTCTGTCGTGATGTTAGTAGCCTCCCTGGCTCAGTGCTTAGCGCCTACCATTCATTAGAAGTTGCAAAATTGTGATACTGCAATTCTGTGATTCCTTCTTCATTTTGTTGTTGGTGTACTACTGTAAAGAGAAATTCTGCCCATCTGCTATTTTTAATACCTTTATTGAGGTGGACATACCATATAACTCACCTATCGGAGGTGTATAATTTGGTGGCTTTTAGTATATTCATAGAGTTGTGTGTCTGTCCCATGCCCAATGTGTGGGGCTCAACCTCATGACCCTGAGGTCAAGCATCACATGCTCTGCTGACAGAGCCAGCCAGGCACCTCTGGTTTTATTGGGGTTTTTTGTTGCTTGTGCTTGTGGTGTTTTATCTAAGAAGTCATTGCTTAATCCAAGGTCATGAAGATTTGTGCCTCCGTTTTGAGAATTTTATAGTTTTAGCTCTTACGTTTAGGTCTTTGACCCGTTTTGATTTAATTTCTGTATATCCCATCATTTATTCTTTGGTTACCCAGTGCTACAGCCAACTGGCCAGATCAGTGCCTGATCTCTTCCCTTTATTTACCAGTTTTCATAATAAGGCATTGGTTCCTTATTCATTGTATGAAGTTGTTCTTTGGTGTTTTGTTTTCATTATGAGTAATTAGATTTAATAATGAGTTTTTATTATAATACAAATAAATTGTTTAAAAAGATTTTATTTATTTGAGAGAGAGAGTGAACGAGACAGCGAGCAAGAGAGAGAGAGCACGAGCAGGGGCAGAGGGAGAAGCAGCTTTCCTGCTGAGCAGGGAGCCCGATGCAGGGCCTCGATCCCAGGACCCTGGGATCATGACCTGAGCTGAAGGCAGATGCTTCCCTGACTGAGCCACCCAGATGCTCCCAAAATAATTAAATTTTTAAAAATTATGTATACTGTGGCATATACACGTATACAATATAGAGACAAAAGTGGTTTTGGTTTTGTTTCTTTTTAAAATGTTTTATTCTTATCCAGCAGTCACATCCTCAGTTTTCATCTACCCAATTGTCTTCCAGAAACATGCCAAAGGCCAGGATCTGTTTGATCAGATTGTCTACCACTTGGACCTCGTGGAAACAGATTACTTTGGCCTCCAGTTCCTCGACTCTTCCCAGGTTGCTGTGAGTACTCCTTTGACACATTTCGGGACAGGTTGATTTTTCATGCTAATTGCAGATCCACAGTTGCTGGAGATTGGTAGAGGGAAAATAGGAATGAAACCATGATGTTGTTGCAGTAGTGAGCTTTGGGGTGTCAGTGATAGTGCCCATGTGACATTCATTCACATGCCCCCCCCACCTTGAGGTGGCCAATAACCGGGAGAGGAAGAGAGAAAGAAGTGTTCCTGTTGTGCAAGGGGATGCATTCAGGAAACATTTCTAAGCATAGGGATGCGACTTGGGCACATTTCTAGAGTAGGTAGAAAGCAGAAGATATACCAGTCTAGAAATGCTTTCAGTGATGCTTTATTTTTAACCGGCACAGAGACTGCAGCATCATCTTCTTGTGGACTCTTGCTGGGTGGAGAGAGCGGGTGCTGTGAACACGCTGAATGTGATCCCAGCCAGACTTAGTGGGTGCAGGGGCCCGGGCGGAGCAGGTCTTGGCACTGCCTGAGAACCATCTTGCAGGCTCCAGGAGGTTGTGTTAGGTCAGCAAAGACTTCCCTTGCTGTGCCTGAGACAGAACTGTCCACAGCAGGGGTGCTAGAGGGAGTGAACCTGACATAGTTCAGAACCACTCTTTTCAAAAGCACGAATGACTTCAGAGTCTCCTTCCCCAACAAAATCTAACTCTGGGTTTCAAAGGTAATTTATTCAACAATCAAAAATATTTTTTGAGGTGGTTGGGGGGATGGGTGAAATAAAGGGGATTAGGAGTATATGTATCTTGGTGAGCACTGAGAAATGTATAGAATTGTTGAATCATTATATGGTCTGCCTGAAACTATTACAACACTGTATGTTAATTATAATTGAGTAAAAAAAAATACTTATTGAGCATCAGTTATGCACTGGGCCCCTTTTAAGCACTGTAGATAAAGCATTGAACACATATATGACAGATGGTGGTAAGTGTTAAGAAAAATAGAGTAAGGGGAGAGACAGACTGAGTAAGGGGTGGTGCTATTTTAGATTGTATGAAAGGGTGAGTTCCCTGATAGGAGATGTTTGAGCATCCGTGGCTAAGTCTTTTTCCCTAAAGACACTTCTTCAGATATTCCCTGGGGGGTCACATGGGCCAGTTAAGACTAAGATGCTCAAAATCCATGCCTAGAAATTGGGTCTGCCTCAGAACGTCTGTGTCATGCTGAGTCCGAGATGATGCCGTGGAGTCAGGACTTCCGTGCATCCCACTGGCTGCAGGCCTCCTAGGCGGACGCCCCCTCTGCTCCCACCAGAAGCCCCTCTGCACCTCAGGACTTCCTGTCCACCATCCCTTACCTCCCTGACCGTTGCCACAAACTCTCCAGCCGCTGCTTTGAGTTAGTGGTCGGATTCCTTCTCCATTTCCCAGCTGGAGACTCGTCCCCGCCCGCCGGGACCCAGGACAGGGGCGGACCAGCTTTCCTCTTCCTGCCCCCCTGTCCGGTTCTGCCGTCGTCCAGGATGGGCCACCTGGTGCCCTGCCTTCTGACTTCGCAGGTGGTCTCAGCCTTTCTTTTTCCCTGGGCAACCTGGGAATTCAAGTTGCCCATCCTTCTAAATACCCTGGACACTGTTTCCTCACATTGAAACTTGGGCAAACCTCGCACATATTCACTTGGGTCCCATCACCACCCGATTGCTCCAAGAGCTGGAATTCTGTCGTTCCCGTCCCATGATAACTTCCCTTGATTCCTTCTTTCCAGTCCCCCTGCACCTGGCCTTGGACCTTAACCACTGCCTCCCGCCTCGTCCTCCCCTCTCGCAGCCTGGCGGAGCCTCAGCCCTCTCGCCTGTGTGCTTTTTGATGCTCCTGCCCCCGTGACTGTCCCCTGGCCTCCCCTCAACACACAGGCCCATCTGTTCTCCTAGACTGGCAGGCTGTACCTTTTGACACCTGCACAGGTCACAGCTCACAGATACAGCAAAGTCCAAGCCCCTGGGCTACTCTTGGAGCCTTGTTAGCCCCTCTTGGACTCGGTTCCCCTTCGGAATCCTGACCACAGCCCTGCAGTCCAGTTCTTGCAACGACTCTGTTCGTGCACTTGGCTTTACCTCCTGCTGAGAAGACTGAGGTCATTTAGCTAAAACCCTTTGAGTTTTCTTACCCTGCACCTCAAAGTTTCTCTTTCTATCCTTTTCACCGTTTGTTTTTAAGGAAATGTGCATGTTTCTCCAGCATTTACCCCCTAGACCTGCATCACAGTGCCAGATTTAGAGTGCTCCTGTCTGTGTCCAGTATCCTCCAGCTGTCCCATCATCTGACACTTGTCAGCCCTCCGCTTCCCGGAAACACTTCTCCCTTCTGCCTTCTATGTGTCTTCATGCATGTGGTATTTTGGGCTTTAGAATGTCTATAGCCCTGGACTGTGAGTCTGACCTGGACCTTGTTCCTGGCGCTGCCCCTGACTTACTTGGGGGCTTTCGATGAGCCACCTTTTCTCCCTTGTCCTCAGTTTTCTCATCTGTAAAATGGGGTTCTTGGACCTGTTCCTAAGAGCTCTTCCAGTTCTCATGTTCTGAAGGGGAGGCAGGTGTGTCTGCCCCACATGGCTTCTCGTGTCATTGTTTCTGCCAGTAGAGTCATGTGCCTGCTGCCTTGGTGCCATGTCCTCATCCCCAGGTGACCCCTCTCCAGCCACTTGGATTCCCAGAAAGCCAAGGATGGGACTCTATTATGAAAGACCTGACCATGCACCTCCGCTCCCTGGGCTGCCCAGCGTTCCCATCGGCCGGCGCCCTGACACACGCTCGGCAGGATCCAGGCGTCCTTCCAAGGCCAGACACCTGCAGACACTCAGACTCTACAGGCTCTCACATCTTTCCAGCTTCCAGCTCTGAGCGTGATGTGCTTTTCTTCCCCCACAAAGCAGGTGCAGGGTCCTTGTCTACCTGACTTTGAGGATCCAAGGATGTGCAGCAGAACCCTTCTCAGTAGTCTTGATTTCTAGGCTGGACTCATGACAGGCTGCGTTCTGGTGAGGTCTGCACTTATCTGTATGCTTATGTTTCTGGGTTCCCCTCCTAGCATGCCCTTTCTCACCCCGTTTAAACTTCTGACTGTCCTTCAAGACCATCTCAGATGACAGCTCTTCCTTCATGCAGCATGTCCTGAACTTCCCAGGCTTCTCCTGCCCCCTGGAAACCTTTGAGCTGCTTTGCCTTCTGTGGCAGTTTGCTCATCTGGCCTTGGGTTCATTATCTGTGTATATAAACAGACCTTTTTGATTAGATCCTGAGACTTAGGATTGCTTCTTCTTGGTGACTCTTATTGACAAGGCATACCACCTAAAACCTCAGTCTTCAGCCCCAGAAGGGACCTTAGAAGCCATTTGTGAAATGTTTCTCTTGATGGTGAAATGAAAGCCTTTCGACTTTGGCAGGGCCCTCCGTGAGTAGCACAGCTCAGACTCAAACCCAGGTCTTAGGACCTCGGGGGTAAGCGCTCTTTTCAGTGTGCTATCCCTGTGAGCCTGTTTCCCTAACTGTAGAGTGGAGGCAGTGACATCTGTATCACAGGGAAATTGAGGGGCTCAGTGAGTTAATGGAGGAGAAGGGGTTTTGTAATCTAACATGGGTGTGGGTCTCCTCTTCCTGGCTGGGCAAGCTGAGGGGGGACCAGAAGTCATCACAGCTCCCAGAGGTGTCGCACTTAGGCTAACTGGAACCTGCAAGGCTGCTTTGCCCGTGGGAGAAACGTTAGCGATTTAGGTGATCCCTTTGGGACTGTTCCCTGAGTCGTTGATTTTTCCGGGCTCCTGGGACAAGCAAAGCAATTGATGGCAGGTGTAATAGATGGGGGCCAGAAAGGGAACGGTCCCCTTGGCCGTTGGCTTATTGCCACGAGGCTCCTGCGAGAAGTGACATCCCCACCCTGCCCCTGCATGCAGATCGGAGGGCTGGCAGTGGCGGGGCTCTTGGCACAGCTCTCTGCATACCCAGCTTCTGTCCCCAGCTCCCTGCAAAGAGCCAAGCCTGGTTACCATAGTGCGCTGCCCAGCCCTGAAGCAAGGTCAAAGTCTATGGGCATTGCCTATTTTTAGCAGTTGAGGCTGGGGCCTCCTGTTTCCCTTTTCCATATCAAGGCAGGCCACAGCCCATTCTGTAGATCTCACCTTTGCACAGCTCAAAGCAGGGTCAGGAGTTCTATTTTTATAGAGGAGAGCTTTCTTCTGAGAAAGGAGGCTCTGGCCTGCACCCACCCAGCTTTCTTACAGACCGATCAGATAGCTGCTATTTCCTGAGTTCCCCCTCTGATGAGCTCTGAGCCGGGCATCAACCTAAAGACTGTACACAACTCTTGATTTAACCTTCATCATCTGGAAAACTAGCCATGGAGCAGACCCGTTTTATAGATGATGAAGCTGAGGCTCACTAGGAACCTTGTAAATGTCAAAGTGAGGGACGGAGGCAGGATGCAGAATCTGATTTCACCCCCCATTGCAAAAGCCAGCCCTTTCCACTGGGCTCTCCCCGTTCCATTACACACGTCCTGGGGGCGGGGTTCTGGAGGGCAGGTGTGGCCATTGTTAAGTCCCTTCCGGGGTGGGGGGTCCTCCCAGCAGGAAAAGGGAGCATTTTATGGTGGTACGCTTTGCAGCAAGGGATCCAGAAAAGGTGATTTGGGCCTTTGTCTCTAGACTCGTGGGATGTTTTTCCTCTGGTCTTTGCAGCCTAGAATCAGGTGGATGGGTAGTAAGAGGCCCAAGGCTGCAAGGTGAGGTTGACACGGATTCATTGGCTGCCGAGAGGGTCAGTGGACGCTGAAAGGGCGTTTGTGGCTTCGCTCTGATGATCGCTTGGCCTGCCATCCCATGTGCCCCTTGTGCGGACCCTGCTGAGCCTTCCTACTGTCTCAGGTGCACCTGGAGGGAGGGGCTATCAGGGTGCTGTTACTGTGAGACAGGCAAACCTTCCATTTCAGTGGTCTGTCACAGTTTCCATGGCCACTGGGTTGATTCTGCAGAAGCGTGTTT